AATAGAGAGGCTAGCATAGTGAGCCCTCCTCTTCCCCCTGCTCAGTTTGCTCAGGTCACGCAGAATCACATCCGGACATCATCCACTCTCCCTTACGTCCATCTGGACAGACGTGCGCACTGCCATCCCAAAAACACCCTTGTCCAGGTTACCAGTGACCTCCACGTCACACCCGGTGGTCGCTTTAGGTCTCATCTCATCGGGCCTCTCTACGGCGCACAACAGCAGCTCGCTCCCTCCCTCAGAAACCCTTGTTTGTTTCCCCCTTGATGTCCAAGACACCAGTCTGCCATGATTGTCTTGCTTCCTGGACCCCCTGCTTGACTAGACTCCACAGGGGGTCCCTCCTCATTAGCTGATCTCACCCAGGCTCCAGGCTCCATGAGCTGGAAACTCCCACATTTATATGCCCAGCCAGGACATCTCCTGTGAACTTGACATTTCCACATGGATTATTAATAAGCATCTAGAACTTAATATGAAGTCAGAGTGATTTTACCTCATCCTCAGCCTGCACCCAAACGCTGTCTCTCCCAGCCTTCCATCTTCCTAATGCCTCAGGCGGAAAACATTCTGCCTTTCATCCGCCCCACCTGGAATCCAGTGCCTTCAACGCCCCCCTCCCCCTCCCCGCGCCCTGTGTGGTGGAGCCCCGGCCCCTCTCTGACCCAACCCCTGCTGCTCACGCATGGCTCCCTCTGCTCCCACCTCACAGCTGTCCCCATGCAAGCCAGGTGGGCGAGCCATTGCCGTTCCCCCAACCCGGGAGGACCTCCCCCGGAAATCCAGCTGACTTGGTCCTTCACCTCCTTCGTCTTTGCTCAAATGTCACCTTTTCCTGAAACCTTCTGGATGCTCTTCTAAAAATGGGAACTCAGCCCCTCCATTCCTTGACTCATTTTGCTCCATAGTTCTTAACTCCATGTTGACATACTTCATATATTTACTTCTCTCTTTCTTGATTTCCATTGTCTCTTGCTGTCTGCTATGTCCTCAACGCCGACAACAGTGTCTGGCACCCTCAGCTCCTATGCTTACCTGAAATGAATGGCTACCTGGGCAACGGTGTCTGCCTCCTACAAAGTGGCAACCGCTTTGGAGTTCCCACCTTTCGGCAAAGGCTATGGGGCCCCTCTCCCTCTTGCCCGCTCGCCCATAGACACACACGCCTCTCGCTGGCTCCTGGAATGGTAGAAAGGACCTAGGGAGCGGAGCAGAACCCCAGAAGAGGGGCAGATGCAACCAGCACGGCAGGCTCTGCAACCTGCCTGAGGGCAGGGGACGGGGCGCTGCACTTAGCCCCGAAGGACTGAGGCCTGGGATGGCCTGCGGGGCACCAGTGAGTCACTGGCGTTAACACTGTTGATGTGTAAGAGCTTCAGGGAAGGTTCTTCTGGCTCTTTCTACCAGACTCAAGAAGAAAACGAGCCTGCCTGATAGATTTTAAACAAACTGCCTAAATAGAATAGGGTCTCTGTAGATGTAGATAGACCCTGAAAAATCATTAAAGGCGAATGAACTTCCTTTCTGAAAGGACAGATGCTGCTAACATGGGGTTAATGCTCTACTTCTTGGTCCATGTCCTTTTTGTCACTTCCTGTCTTGTACAATGTACCTCTAATAAGCAACGGCCGTTGTTTACTGAGTGCCCACCAAGGTGGGGCTCCCATGGCACACGGTAGCCCTCACGCGGCCTCGGCCCCTCCCACCGTCAAGAGGCAGGACACACGGTGGTTGGGAGCTCAAGCTGGGGGAGCAGGCCTGCATTTGGAACGGAACAGTGCTACCTGCTCGCTAGTACTTGGGCAGGTGAACTCAGCCGCTGCAGTTTCCGTGGTTCCCCTGTAACTTGAGGAGAGCAAGGGCTCCCTGAAACTGGAGTCCTCCTCCCTGAAGCTGGTGTGAGCTTCTATCTCCTAGCGCCGCCAGGGTCTGTGAAATGGGACGTGGGACGGGGGTCATCCACACTTCCAGTGAAGGCTACCGGTGCCACCTAGGACAGGGACCATAATGCTCAGATCTTAGATAATCCGTCTCGGGTTCATGGGGCAAGGCATTCCTTCTAAAGCACGCACTGGCTACCCCATGAGTTCTGAGAGTCATGCGGGGTCCACACAGTGGTCAGGTGCCACCAGCAGGCCTTGGGCAAATGTAGGGAAAAGAAGAAAGGAAGAGGGACCAGAAAAAGGCAGTAATGGAGTTAACAGAAAAGAACGAGGAAAGAAAGACATGGAATGGAAGGGAATTAAACATACGTGAGGGAGAAGGGTGCCATGTTAGAGACCTCTGAGTGGCCGCTTCCCTGGGGCATTTACATGCTTCCAGGCACCACTGAGAGGTGAGCTTGGTTTGCCCTGAAGGAAGCGGGAATGGAGCTTGGCCTGTTTCCAGAGAACTAGGCTGTGTGGGGACTAAAGAGACCCTTATTCCAGAGCGTTCCCCTCTCCCCCCGCCAACCCCCAGTGTCTTTGCTCATGAAACTTTAGTTATTATCTAAATAAAAAAATACACACAAGATACATTCCTGGAAAGGGGAGGTTTCAGAGGCCTTTGGGTGGAAGAGAATGGGGAAGATCTGGTAGAGGTGACGAACTCGGGGAGGCCACGCACACACAGGAGGGCCAGGCGAGGCTACACAGCAAGGGAAGAGGGAGAGCTAACAAGCAGTGGCCACAGCAAAGCCCTCCACGCAAAGGCAGGGTAAGGCTTCCTGGATGCTCCAGGTGGCAGTGACTTAAAGGACAGGTGCAGATAGAGAATGACCTGTATGTTGCTCTGGCAGAGGTCTGGTTAATTTGAAAGCAGGCTCATGTCCACAGCCTGATCAATACGTGATCTGGCTCCCGTCTCTCCGATCCCATCTCCTTCCACCCTCGGCCTCTTCTGACCCGCTGCACGCACACTGGCCTCTCTCTCCTTCCTGAGCCCATGAGGAAGCCTCTACCTCAGCGCCTTCCTGGTGCCTGGGATGCAGGTCTCCGCTCAGTCACCACCCCATCCCAGAGTGGCCTCCTGCCGCAAAACTCCCTGTCTCCTTGTCCTTGTCATCGAGAACTTATTTTGTCTGCTTCCCCCAATGGGGCATAAGCTCCATAAAACATACTCTATTTTGTTTACTTCTGGATATTGCGGAGCAGATAGCAAACCTCCTGAAATATTTGTTAAGTGAATGTGTGAACCAAGAGCCATAACTCTACGCGTGTGTATATATAACATGAGTTTCATTGATTGAGCTGTTTGGCGTTTCAGGGTGCATTGCCTACAAGGAGCAGGGGTAAGGGTGAGAAGCACTGCAGTTCAGAAACCTCAGTAAGAGTTGCTGTGCTCTGTCAAAAGATCCACACTCATAGCTCTTGGGGTCATAGGAGCATAGAAGCCAGCCACCAAAGGGGCCTTCAATGACCCTTGGCACCTGATATTCACACCCTTGTATAGCCTCCTCCCATTATGAATAGGGCTGACTTGTGTAACCAATAGAATGTTGTGAAAATGGTGGTCATAAATGACATCGTGGCTTCTGTCTTTCTCTTTCTTGGATCGCCCGCTCTGAGGAAGACCCGCCACCACACTGTGAGGACAAACCAGTAGTCACAGAGAGAACATCCTAGGGAGAAACTGAGGCCCTGCCCACAGCCAGCGCCCTGTGAGAGACCCATCACAGAAGCAGGTCCGCCAGCCCCAGCCCGGCTTGGAGACTATGCGGCCCCCGCTGACACCTTGACTGTAGCCTTGCGAGAGACCCCCGGGCTGGAAGCACCCAGCTCAGTGGCTCCTGAGTTCCTGAACTGCGGAAACTATGCAAGATTATAAATGTTTATTATTGTTTAAAATGCTACGTCTTAGAGTGATTGGTTTCACGGTGCTAGGTAATTATCACACAGCGGATGGCGTGGGGCCCGCCGTCCCAGGTGTGAGTGGACCTGGGTATGATTAGGATTGTGTCTTTCAGCGGTTCACGGGGCGGCCCGACTCCTCCCTCTGGAGCCACTGGTCCCAGTTGGATTCTGCAACCCTTGTTAGCCACAAATGCCACCTGTATCCTCAATAAACTTTATTTAGACACAAAGAGACACAACAGAAAATACATACACAGATACAGATAATTTTTTTCTCTATAGGATGAACACACATCACAAAGGGAATTTAAAAAGTAGGTGCATAGAATGTAAGAAAATATTGCAGTGTTCCTTGTTCACTCACACTTAAAACAGACACATATTTCAGAGGAAGACAGGGACGTGCCATCCCTACACAGAATTCACAGTTGTTCTATAACAGTACACAGGTGTTAGGGAGGTAATCAAAGAAGTTAGAGAGCCAGTTACTCTTGGCATGACAGAATGCTCACAACACTAGCAGGACTCTGTTGAAACAAAAGACAGAATGGAGGATTCCAGACCCCCTGCACAGATGCTCTGCAAGCTGTCAGCTAGGTCATAAAGCGGCTCAGCAGAAATGCTACGTTATTTCAGCTTGTGGCTCGAAGGTCTGTATAACCTCTACCTTTGTGTCCACGTCAGAGAGAGTTTACACAGACACACGTAGGACGCTGAAACTCTCGACATGCGTGCTGGCTTCGACACCCACAGTACAAAGCATTGACATCAGTTTATAAAATGTGGCTAAAAAAAAAAAAGGAATAATAGCCAAGAAGACAAGGAACGTGTTGCAAAGGCTGCCACATCCATTGGCAGTGTTTCCCACCACGCCGCCGGCCTGCGGCCCCTTCGACAGGGGGCCGGTGGCGCGTGTCCTCTCCACACAGTGGGCGGAGCAGGGTGCATGTCTCTTGGAAGTCTATTATTGCCCTCTGAGGTCACGCGCGTGACCTCCTGGCCACTCCCGTCAGAGCCATGCATGTCACCAGCACAAGCCGCAACAGAACCACCCCGCTTACTCTTTCCCGGGCAAGCCTCTGGCCTCCACACCATCTTCGCTTTTCAGATGGGGGTTTCCCTAGGCAACCTCTGTATGTTAGTAAAAAATGGTTTCCACTGTACCCTTCGTGTGTCCTCTTCCTAATGTGACAAATCCAGATGAGATGAAGTTATGGAGATCAGCTCCTCCACTTCGGTAAGCATCCTTCCCATAATGTCCTGCAAGAAGACGGGGCAGAATTACCTGGCGCATCCATGACACCACAAGAAGACAAACGTTGCCGCTCCAGCTCACGCGACAGCGGTGCTGAACTCAACGCAAATCAGCGGCTAAGTCAGAAGGCAGAAGCAGTCGAGAGAAGATACATATGTACAATTTTACAAATTTATATAAATGTATAATATATATTATATCAATGTATAATATATATTTATCAATATATAAAGTATATGTAATATATGTCATCATATAAATATTTATATAGTAACATATATAAATATATAAATATATTTAGATATATTATATATTACTGTGCACAGAAGTGCGTATATTACATATATATCCTGTCCAACAATGAAGAAAGCACGGGGAGGTTACGTTGAAAGCACAGCGGGTGGAAAGGGAGACACGCGGCTTGACTTTGCCATTTCTGACGAAGCACACCGGACACCAGTCTACTTGTCCTGCCATCCTCTCTTTAGCCTCAGCTTCCTTCCTGCCCTTTCTTGCCTCATTCACTTGTTTTCTTTCTTTCCAAATTTCAGATGCAGGAGTCTGGTCAGGACTGCTCTACATAAGCGTATGTTTGTGAACCATATGCCGTCCTACGGAACCAGAGCCTGGTGGCTTAGGAGAAACCCATCGTCAGCTGATGCTGACAAGGGGAATGGCGGTTGGAAAACCTTGGCAAGAGGTTTCTGTGCTTTCCTGTCTTGAGGGTCTGCAGTAAGATCGTACCCCTCGGCAGTCTAATGTACCCGTCTGCCTGTGGGGGTGGGGCAGAGAAAGCAGAGGGCAGGTTAGAGCCCTGCAAGAAGAAATTCAAAGAGAAAGAGTTAATGTTCAGCTTCCGACATTCGCAACAGTTCACAATGTGCTTGAAATACTACGTTGTAAGGACAGAAAGGACTCTAAACACCATCCTGGGGTACGTGCGCATGAAAATGGGCAGAAGCCATGTTTCTGTCACGCTCCTACAAGTGTGTATTGATGCTGTACTTAAAATTATAACAGTGTGCAGAAAGACCGAAGATGTCATGTTAACTTAGAAAGTGGACAGGAAACGCTAGAGTAAATATCACCACAAGGTTGTAAAAAATTCACACCAATGCAGAAAAAAAAAAAAAAAAGATTGAAAAACACACCTGGCACTGACCACTGTCTTTGAACAGGTGGAATACAAGTTTTTTTTTCCTCTCCTTTCAAATTTTCTATATTTCTCACTTTTTCTCTAATGAATAGGTAATTTTTATAATATAAATAGGTAAAATAAATTTCTAATGGAAAAACATGTGATAAGTGTAAAGGCAACCTAAATCACATTTTTTTCTTAGTGGGGCATCCTCTGCATTTGTAGATCTCCAATTTGGGTGCATGTTGGAATTATCTGGAAGCTTTTCAAAAACACAGCTGTCTAGATACTACTCCGAGATTCTGACTCAGTGGGTTAGAGTCTGGGCTTAGGGGAGCGTCCTTTCAAGAAGCTCTCTAGGCAATTCTCATGTGCTGCGGGCAAGAAGAATCATTGCCCAAAGTAAATGGAGAAACAACCTACGTTTAGTTTATTCATGTGGGTTCAATGACCATTTGCTGGGACCCTCGTGGGTGCCCAGAACCACCCACCATGTAAGTTCTGAGCTCCATAGTTCACCCTCTTCCTTCCTTCTCCCAGACCAGTGTTCTAAAATCTGAGTGTGCATCAGAAAAGCCAGGGGGTTATGTTAAAACGACTGCAGGCCCCACTCCCAGAGTTCCTGAGTCAGTCCATTTGGGATGGGGCTCGAGGTCCTGCATTTCTAGCAAGTCTCCTGGGATGCTGATGCCTCTGGGTCCCAGGACCAAACTCTGAGAGCCAGGTCCTGGCACGACGGGAATGTAAGAAAATGTTACCACTGCTTCCCTCAGAGCCTCCACCGTGGAATAAATACCTCATTCCTCGGGGCACACAGCTTTCCACGAGGTCTCTCCTGCTGTAAAATACTGGGGTTACAGCCCACAATATAATAGAACAGAAAGGATTACTGGAGCTGAACTAAGAGGCTTCTGCCCATATCCCAGGCCATATCACGGCTCTGGAAACCAGACTCCAGCACTTGGAGAAATTCTTCTTCATCAGGCATGAGGGAAGAGGAACAGAGCTGTGGGGCGGGGTGCGCTAACAGTCCCAGGGAGAGGGGGCCCCTTGTCCTGAGATGCCGCCACTTTCTCCCCCGCCACCTCCTGACCATGGAAGAGTCAGACAGGAAGTAACAATTCAGAGCCCTCGTAAATTTGGATCTCATTAATTCACAACCTGACACATCCTGCAGAATTTGGGCTGGTTTATTTTTGTGCTCCTTATAAATAAAATTTTTGATAAACAAATCAATACTGAGGAAGACAGAACATAAAACAGTGTCTGTGCTACTTACAATTATTCTTATCTGTCAGCTGCAACAAGGTCCCGCAGGAGTAAGCATTGCCCTGCTGCTTTGGGGCTGTGCTGTTTGAAAGGAAACAAACTTCCTGACCACCTACTATGTGCCAGGCAAAGGGACAGAGCTTCTGAAACACAGCTGAAATTTTTTGCATAATAATGGCAAACACTTTGTAGCATGATACAATTTACAAAGATCTTTCACATATACTATTTACTTAAAATCTGAATCACTACAGCAGATTGTCTATTATTACTGTTTATCCCCCCATTTTATTGATGGAAAAACTGAGGCCAAAGTCTATGATCTTTCTACAGCTTCCACCCTAGCTCCTCACCCCATGATCTGAATGAGTGCAGCTATGACTTGGAGACTTTAACCGGGACCCAGTGGGAAATGCTAAGCCAGAAGTCCGCTTGGTGATGAACAAGTTCGTACAAGTTAGAACTCAGAAGTGTTGAGCTTCAAGTACTGAGGTTTTGAACTGGGAAACGAAAGGATATGTTGAGGGGTCAGGACAAAGAGCATTTGACAGAATGAAAGAATTTATGGTGAAATCAGTTTGGAAAACATTGAGTTAAATGAAATGAAAAGTAAACATGAAAACCCAGTCTGGGACCTGCCAGTGAGCACTGGACTCCCCAGGGAGCCTTTATACTTTTCAAAGTCATCTCTTGGGACATTTTCGGAGAAGGCACAGTGGCAGTCTCAGGTTTTGCTCGAGCTGTGGTCCTCAAACTTTAACACATCAGACCCGGCTGAACGGCACAGAGATTGGCAGCCCAGGAATTCCTCATTTAGTAGGTCCGAGTTGAGCGCTGGTCATTTACATTTCTAGCCAGTCGCCAGGTGATGCTGATGATAACCGCAGGTCCAGGGACCACGCTTCATGAATATCGTGTTAGAGAACTACGACAGGTCGCTCCTCTGCTGGATACAGAGCCAGTGCGAGGAGGTCGCGGTCTAGAAGGATTTACATTTTCTGTATCCTCCAAAGAACAACTGGTTTAGCCTGAACACAGGCAGCATGAAGAGAAGAATGACTGGTAGAAGTGAAGCCCTTCACAGGTGGATGGTCAGAAGGCAGGGGAGCCCATGCCGCCTCCTCTTTGCCTTGGTGATGCACAGAGGTCATCAGCTGATGATGTAAGTGGGTCTCATGGGATTCTTTAGCCATGTCACAAAGCACCACGCCATTCTCTGCCTGGAGACGACTACCCCCAAGTTGACGCCCTCCTGCCTCCCCTGAGGCAGGAAGCCAAAGGAGGGCCGACACTGCCCAGACCGACGTTCCCAAGACAGGGCCACACATCCGGCAGAGCTCCAGGCAGGAGCAGGAGAGAGCTCTGTGGACACCCGTTAGGTAGCAGGAACACGCCCAGGGCGCCCTACCGGGAAACACAGCCTCTGACCAGGCGCAGGGGTGGTTTCGGAGTGCGCCCGCCACCGCCCGGACCCAGCCGTGCGCAGCAGCACCTGGACACCCTCTCAGCCTCCAGTTCCACGGCCGCCCCCTCACCATCACCATCGCCTGGAGCTCCCCGACTGCGGTCCCCGGGCAGGAGACAGATCAGAGCTCCGGCGGGGTCCGAGGCTGGGCGCCTGGGGCTGTGCAATGCTGGTGGCTCTGATCAGGGAGCAGCCCCGAATGACTGAGGGAAAGTTGCTGTGTAAAACAGATTTGCTGCAAGGAACAGAAGCAGCATGGCGACAAAAAATGAGGTGAGAGCCGAATGGTGATCTCAATAAGATTTATGAGAATTCTGCATCTGTGAGATTAAATCAATAGCCACAGGAGAGAAACAAACTGATCAGGACAGTTTACCTGAGTTGCAAATATGGGCAACAGAGAAGAAATTGAAGGAAATTAGCGAAGAAAATTCCAATAAGAGAGATGTACCGGGTACTCAGTGGGCAAGACAAAGGCAGAAACAACAGGACAAAAGACAGAAAGGACAGCTCTAGAAGCAACTATTTCAAGGAATATTCTCAGAAGAGAGATACATTGGATAATTCAGAAGCAATGATTAAAATTTATATATTTTTTTCTGATGGAAGACTTTAGATAATAAAATAATCAAGGATCAGACTTTAACTGGAAGGGACCAATATCTAAATATATGTTAGTGGAATGCCATTTAAAAAAAAAATCCATCTTCATAAAACACTGAACCTATAGAAAGTGAAGCACCCAGTTAAGGAGTTTGTTAAATTTCATCTTTGTGGAGGAAGGACAGTGTACTGAGTGAAAGACGCACAGTCTGGAACCTGGCTGACCAGATTCAGGCCTCTTTATACACATTTCCTCAAATGCAAAAGGGGAACGATAATAATAATATGCTTTTCATAGGCTGTTGAAAAGATTAAATGAGTTAATGTATACAAGGCATTTAGAACAATACTACTCAGTGTTAGCTACTTAAGGATTTGCTAATATTTTGGAGTAGAGATTTTTTTTTACTTCACTCCTCTAAAACTCACTGAAAATAATGAAAAGAAGGAATGGTAGAAAAACTCTTTTCAGAAAAAAAAATACCAGACATTTCACTTCACAGAGCTAGAACAATTTGGAAAACACACAC